GCGCAGGCCCAGCAGCTGCCAAGAATAAGTGCTGAAGTGCCATTATTTCAAGAGAAAACTAAGTTTGGTACTTCTGAGAAAGGCTTGGCCTTTTCTGCAATAGCAGAAGAGGTCACAAACTGGGACCACACGGACTCCAACTTGATGGGCACCATCACAGAGCTATACAGATCCTCCTCTGCTGCAGGAACAAGGAGAGCTCCGATCTACAAAGAACAGCACTACAAAGAACAGAAAGGGGTTGTGTTTTTTTTTCTCCTCTTTCAAGTGCATACATAAATCTCAACACAATATAGAAGTCCTCACTTCTCTCAGGGGCAAAATTTGCACTCATCTTCATAAACCCCTTATTCCAACAGGCAGTATACAAGAGGGCTGAGCAAGATGCAATGCAAAAAAAGAAAAAAATGCAGAGAATGCAATCAGAGCAATTTTGACTTTATTCTTGCTCCTGAATCGCGATTGATTTCCCATTCAGGGCAGCCTCTGTTCTCTGAACGAGGGTTGTAAACAGGGAGGCATCTGCACTACCTTCAGCCAGCCAACAAGCCCTCTGCCTGGTGCTGACGGCGTAGCCAGGGCTAGGAACAGGCCAGACCAACAAGAAAGTCTCCACCGCAGCAATGCTGCACGGGTAAAGCCACCAGCAGATCTGAAGAGAAGGTGGGAAGTGCTTCCACCAGCACCAGATACGCACAGAGTTATTAGCCAAATGCGCACGCAAGATCTCACTCCATCTGCTGAGCTGTAGTTTAAAAAAAAAAAAAAAAAAAAAAAAAACTTTCCTTTTATAAAACAAAAGCCTTAAATATTAATTTAGGCACTCCCACCAGCAGAGGTGTGCTTGGATGCTACTAGTAGCCTGGTGCAAGTCCTGTCATATTTACAGCATTAGCCTGGAAAAGGAAGGCTGAAGGCCCACAAAAACACAGCATCGGAAAATAGTTACTGGATTGGAAGTGCGTAAGGGAATGCAAGCTTGGACTTCTGGAATTATCCCTGTGCAATGAAAGCTTTAATTCCGTGTAGCAAAAGCCATCTGCAATGCAGATTTTACAAAGGAAAGCAGAAGTAAGCACGAGCCCAAGAGTGGTTTGCGACACCAGCCGGAGCTGGGTACCTAGTGCGCTCTGCACCCTCGGACACGTCCTGGAGCCCGAGCAGGGCCATGGCACAGGGACAGCAGCCACCTGGCTCCGAGGAAATGCATTCAGAGCCCCTGCGTGCCCTGCCTAGGAGGCTCATGCAAACATTAAGTGGTTCACGGGCAGCCAGAGCCGTGATGTGAACAGAGATACCCCCCAGCACCATCAGATACAGGGAAAGGGGCTCGGAAATGCCAGATCAGGAGCTAGTGCAGCACAGATGCTGCATCCGTGCAAGCTGGGAAGACAGCAAGGCTGTGTTGCTGAAAGCAAGGCTGTGGAGCACATGACCAATATACTTGGGTTAGCAATGCAGGGATAACTCAGATCTGGTTTTGAAAACTGAGTTGCTCTGCTTTCTAGATTTATAAGCTTTTAAAATGCAGCATGAAGAGCTTTCTTTCAGC